TTATGCTCCTGTACCAACCGGTTGACTTCCACTGTCAAATCACTGATTCTAGGATCTTGGGTCTTTTAATTGATCCCGGTTTACACGCATATTTGGCTGGCTTAAGTCATCGGCTGGCTTCTTCGTAGATGAACAAAGGAGTTTTAGGTTGACCTAGTTCGATTTTGGCCCTAGGCTCCTTTGTTCATTTCCGAAGAAGCCAGCCGATGACTTAAGCCAGCCAAAAAAGCGCTTTATGTATTCCCAGCTTAACCCTGTGGAGTGATTCAAAGACTGTTTTAAAATGGATTTCAAGCAGTCATAGAAATTATAAGCCCTATGTTGCCCATAGGATAGCGGAAGTTTTGGAATCTACAAAAATTAATAATTGGAAGTGGGTACCAACAAAAGACAACGTAGCCGATGATGCCACAAAATATTATAATCATATCGATTTTTCGATTTCGTCAAGATGGTTAAGTGGACCATCGTTTCTGAAAAGATCGGAAGAAGAATGGCCAAATTATGGCCCGATTTGTCATCATCCTGATGAAGGTGATGAAGAAGAAATTCGACCTAAGGTGTCTCTTTTAATTTTTAAAAATAGTTTTTTTAATTTTGAGAGATTTTCTTCGTATCTACGTTTAAAAAAAATGGTAGGACAAATAATTCGTTTTACTGATATTTGCCGCAAAAAAGTCGGCGCTCGAGATTTACCCGATTTAAATGCATATTATTTGAATGAAGCTGATGCAGTATTATGCCGTCAAGTTCAAAGAGAATCATTTGCTGAAGACATCAGAAATATTAAAAGTCTCAAAAGAAAATAAATTGAAAAATTAAACTCCTTATATCGACGAAAATGGATTATTGAGAGTTTATGGGAGAATCGATGCAGCCAGCTCTCTTCCATATAGTATGAAACGACCGATTATATTGCCCAAGAATCACTATTTTACCAAACTTGTTGTGATTTATCATCATTGCCAGATGAAGCATCAAAATCATGAAGCCGTTATATGTGAGATAAGGAAAAAATTTTGGACTCCACAAATACGACAAGTTTTAAGGAAAATTGTAGCTAGTTGTTTTACTTGCCGAAAAAACAACGCCAAGCCTGTGCCGCCGATTATGGGTTCACTGCCTATTGATCGATTGGAGCCTTACATCAGACCTTTCAAGTATACTGGCCTTGATTATTTCGGGCCTATAAATGTCAAGATTGGAAGAAGAACTGAAAAGAGATGGATAGCTTTATTTACTTGCCTGACAATCCGCGCTATACATTTAGAAATAGCTCATGATTTGTCGACGGATTCCTGTATAATTGCAATTAGAAACTTTATAAATCGTCGCGGTGTTACTGTAAGATTCAGATCCGACAATGGGACGAACTTCATTGGGGCCAACGAAGAGTTCAAACGATTTGATGACGTTTTTGAGGCTGAAAGGATTCAACATGAATTAAGTGAAAAAGGCATTGAGTGGATATTTAATTGCCCAGCAAACCCTTCGGAAGGCGGTGTATGGGAAAGGTTGGTACGAAGTGTTAAAAGAGTTTTACGACTAACCATGAAGGACACCTGTCCAAAGGAACATGTTTTGCATTCCTTAATAATTGAAGCAGAAAATATATAAAACTCTAGGCCATTGACTCATGTGCCCAAAAGCCCTCATGAGGAGGAGCCTTTAACTCCAAACCATTTTTTGCTTGGAACAGACAACATTCCTCAGACACCTGCAGCCAATGTTCCAGATGAACAAATCTTCCGCCTGAAAAAGCAGTGACGAGTTGTTAGGAGTTTGCGAGACAGATTCTGGAAGCGATGGGTTGTTGAATATTTGCCAACATTAACCAGGCGAGTAAAGTGGTGTGAACGAACGAAGCCAATAGAAGTAGGAGATGTTGTGTTTGTTTGCGATCCTAATCTTCCACGTAATCAATGGCGGCGAGGAATGGTCACTCATCTACATACTGGGACAGATGGTGTTGTTCGTCGAGCTGATGTCAAAACCTCCACAGGAGTTCTCCAACGAGCTGTTTCAAAGTTAGCCGTCCTGGACTTGGAAGATGGTGAAGCTGACGGCTCCACGGGGGCGGGGGTTTTCCAGAACGGCACCTTATGAGTGTTTATTTATCATGTTTCTGTTGAAATGTTGTAATGTTGACAGTTATCACAGTTTCCTCTATTCTCTCTTTTGACATTTCCGAATAGGGCTTTTGATAATTGCAATGCCATTATTCGGGGTTATTTGTCTTTGGCAGTCAAAAGGAGAAGTCGAAAAACTGCGAAATAAACGCGCGCTACTGTGTTTTAAATAAAATTGTTTTCTTTTGCGTTAACCGCAAGGCTCCTTCTTTGACATTAATCCAGAACAGTATCCTCCGGAAAAATTGGCATTATGTTCCTACACAATGTTATGCCTCTCTTTTCTGTTTTTTAAGATACTCTGACTGAAAATGTTTGGAGCAGATGTATTTGTTTTCGGTATTTGTTATCCCATATTTTCTCTAAAAATAAACTTCCATGGAACTATACTATGGAAGCTGACACCCTCCATTGGGTGTTTGTGCCACGTGACGGTATGCAGCAATACTTCTTTCTTGGCATCTAGAAAAAAATATTTCGCATAAGTACACATATATAATGCAAACCACACACGATACAACCTGGAGGATTGTCAAGTTTTATTCTTCGGCCACAAACGATACAACTTCGTATACAACCTCTTTGTACGACTTCACTTTTCGAAGATTTCATTTGAGTTAAGATGACACCGGGTACAATTTCGTGCCCTATAATTTACTTAATAGCCTTTATTTATTATTAAGTTTTAAAATTCGTTTTATATATATTTTTAATTTATTTTATATTTTCATTGAAATCACACATTTGATTGGAATTTGTTGTTGTTGAGATGTGCGAAACAATGGTGTTGCCTCTTTGAAAATAACAACAAAATGAAATTGTATACGACATGCCCACACACATTACAATCGGTTGGTACAACATGCCAAATATCAAAAAAGTTTGATTTTTTGTACAACCGGGCCACAAACGATACAATCTTGAATACAACCTCTCCAAGTTGTACAACCAGTTGCTTCGTGTGTGGCTTGCATAAGGAAAACAACTATTCAGAATGTACCATGGTAGAAGAATATAGGTAGACGCATCGACACAGCTGCTGGGACAATGAACTGTCAAACCAATTTTGGAATTGAAAATGTTGAATGAAAAATTATTTAAATTTGTAAAAATTGTTTAAATACACGAATTATAATAAGCTCCAAATGACGTTGTATAAGAAAACATTTAAAAATCTACTTATATTTGAAAAAAACATTTACATTTTTTTGACATATCAATGCTCCCAAGCTTTGATGCATCTACCTGTATTCTTCTGCCATGGAATGTACACTACTCACTACTACTTAGGTTATACAATTATGAAACATGTTAGACCCACTGTACAAATAAGGAGTTAGAAGAGTTTTCATTTTTAAAAGCAATAAGTACCTAAACAAAATAAGCATTATTGACAATGTTCTAACCATTCATGGTAATATTAAATTTGAAAATTTTAAACTATGCATTTTATGTGTGGCCGAGATCAAATAAGATCAAACGACGGTCGAATTAATGCGTGTTTACACTCCTATCTAACACCTGACGCTTGTCATCGAGTTTTAAACACGTATTTATTTGAAAGTTAGCGAAATACGACGAGCGTCAACATTTACTTTACTGATTTTTCTTTTTTTATATGCTGGAAATAAGATCAAATAATGATATATAAAATTGTAATAACGCTAAAAATGGTTGTTAGTTCCCTTAGAGATATGAAGCTGGCGCATTTGCAAATACGGATGCACAAAACATAGTACTATATTGGAGAAGGTGAATATTTTTGTACATAACGTCGTATACATGGTAGAAGAATATAGGTAGACGCATTGACACAGCTGCTGGGACAATGAACTGCCAAACCAATTTTGGAATTGAAAATGTTGAATGAAAAATTATTTAAATTTGCAAAAATTGTTGAAAAACGCGAATTATAATAACCTGATAGAACATTTAAAAATTTATGACATATCCAAGCGTTGATGTATCTACCTGTATTCTTTACCATGGTCGTGTATTGGTCTACTAAAAGCTACTTATTCTTAGAATTTGTGGTTGATTACGTTTGCTTTGTTCCAGAACTATTTTTTTTTTCGATATCATAAAGGAGAAATCGGTTATCATAGTAAAAAGTTTTACATACTTGCATGGCTCAATAAGAAAGGTTGCTCAACTTCAAAGAAACTAGAAAAATGCCTGTCTTTTCAGGAGTCTTATAGTGTCAAATAGACTTTGGTATATGCAACAGTTGGTTCGTTTATTTTTATTTTTTTTAACAGAATTCTTATATTGACAAAAACTAGTACACCAATTAACCCGTTCATACGGCACGATTCCTAATTCATAGTAAAATAATTCCTTTTTTTGAAAAATGTTGTTTGTTGAATTTAATGGAATTTTACACGAAAATACATGAAATTCTCACTAATATGAATAGAAGAAATTATTGTTTTTCTCCCAAAAATTTATTATATCATTAATTTTACAATTTTTGTTCGTGTTTTCAAATTTTTGTGTAAATATTGACATTTTGGACATGTTTTAGTATTTTTCTATTTTTAAATTCTGCTGGAGAGACACTTGTCAAACATTTTTTCTGCCGATACAAACATTTTGAAAATATTGCATCATTAAATTTTTCAATTGTTAATTTTTAAATGTAATTTGTTTGTTTGTTTTTTTGATATATCTAATTGTTAGGGATAGCACACATTCAATCTTAAGCTGGAGACACATAAAGAGCATATTTGGCTGGCTTAAGTCATCGGCTGGCTTCTTCGTAGATAGGCGTAGATAGGCTTCGTAGGCTCCTTTGTTCATCTACGAAGAAGCCAGCCGATGACTTAAGCCAGCCAAATATGCTCTTTATGTGTCTCCAGCTTTAGTTCTAAGAGTGATTTGAATGGAACGAAGCACAAAATTTTTTTGTTCCCTCAGCAAATTTTGTGTGGGGAATTAAGTAGATATTTCTTAAATAATGGTCGCACTTCCAACAACTCAAAAACAATTTTGTTTTCTCACGTCACAAATGAGAATAAGGGTGTAGGTACATAAGAAGCTTGAAGTCATGGCTAGGCATACTTTGTGACATTTCTTAAAGGGATTGCAAAGCCGCACTTAAATCCTGCTGTCGTTTTTCATTATAATTTGACATTAATATGCCTAGCCATGACTTCAAGCTTTTTATGTACTTGCACCTTAAGCTTGATCTCTCCACCGCACATACGTTAAAATCAAACGCCATGATTTTGCTTCATGCATTGTATGTGTGACGCATACTTACAAATTTTCACTAACGCTCATAGTACAAGAATATAGGTAGATGCATCAACGCTTGGGAACATTGATATGTCAAAAATTTTGAAATGTTTTGACAAAAATAAATATATGTTTCTAAGTTTTCTTATACGACTCAAATCGGAGGTTGTAATGATATGTATTTTTTAAAAATTTTTACAAATTTCAATAATTTCTCATTCATTATTTTCAATTCCAAAATTGTTTTGACAGTTCATTGCACCAGCAGCAGTGTCGATGGGACTACCTGTATTCTTCTAACATGCTAAAGGGTCTGTCAGATAGAATACGTTGTGTCCGTTGCGGCAACGTATTGGACTGACGTGACGTACATAAAGTATAGACTCGCCACAACAAATCCGTCGTTGTACATAAGAAAACAGCTGATTTGCATTGGTGGTAAAATTCAGTTTGAAAACAGACAACATTTTCTGTTATTTGAAAATGGAAACCTCACAATTAATGAACATTATATCATTAATCTTAATGCTGTTCGAGGCCGGCGAATGCTTAAAAAAATTGTACGGGCGTAGAAGATATTGGGTGCGACCACTATTGCGGAATCGCGACACGCATGGATTTTTCGCCACCACATTTTGCTTCCCAGACGAATTCCAGAAAACCATAAGGATGGAGAAGAACACATTCGATCTCCTCCTGACTTTCGTAAAAGAGAGGTTAAGGAAGCACTCCAATAGGCCATCAATTTCACCGGAATGTCGACTTTTTATGACCCTTGCGTAAGTTCTTATACATATTGGTAACATTTAATCGTATGTGTCCGAATAACATTCTTGAATACTTCCATAAAATTTAAGATATTTAGCTCATGGCGGAAGTAAGCAGATATTTTCTGCTGCCTTTAAAATGGGAGTGTCAACTATGAAAGGAATAGTATCAGAAACCTGCGAAGTGCTTTGGGAAATACTTGGCCCAATATATTTATCAGTCCCAAAGGAAAATGAGTGGAAGCGAATCGCCATTGATTTTTACACAATGTGGGATTTACCCAATTGTGTTGGCGCCATTGATGGCAAGCACATCAATTTAACTTGCCCATCGAACTCTGGCTCCCAGTTTTACAATTATAAAGGGAACTACTCCATTGTCCTTCTGGCAGCTTGTGATGCTAATTACACATTTACTTCCGTGGATATTGGTGCGTTTGGTTCCCAAAGTGACGGTGGAGTTATGTGGAACTCAAGATTCGGTCAACAGTTGTATAAGGGCCAATTGGATCTACCAAAAGAAGAAGTACTACCCGGTACAGATAAAAGTTTCCCACACTATTTCGTTGCAGATGCCGCGTTCCCATTAAAACCATTTTTAATTAGACCTTATCCAGGTTTGCATGAGCAATTTATATTTTCCTCTTCGATTTTATGTAACAAAAATTTTTTAAGGAAGTAACTTGCCGCCTGAAAAGGAAATATTTAATAAACGTTTGTCACGGGCCCGTAGGGTAATAGAAAATGCTTTTGGTATTTTGGCGAGCCGATGGAGGATTTTGTTGTCATCCCTACAAATGAGCCCAGCATCCGCAGAGAAAGTTATTAAAGCCACGGTACTTCTTCACAATTTCCTCAAAATGCATGATGGCAGTTATTGTCCGCCAGAATATGTCGACCGAGACGACGGCACTGTATTGATAAATGGTCTGTGGCGCAAAGAAGTGCCTGTCCCTTTGCAGAGAGCCAGGAGAACAGCTTCAAATAATGCAGCAAAATGCGCATTCAAATTAAGGGATGAACTCATGAGCTATGTCGTTTCACATCCAATTCGGCAATTTTCCCGGCAGTAACTTCATATTTGTTTAATAATACTGATGAAAGCATGTATCAAACATTTAATATTTCTTTTCATATTTTATTATACTAAAAAATAAATCATTTCATTATACTAAAAACTAAAATTAATTTATTTTATTAAATAAGAAAGCAAGAAGAAAGAACATTGTTTAAAATTCATTCATTGTTTAAAATTTGAGACAATGTTGAGCAATTTGATTTTAATTCTATCTTGCTCGTCCTCTGAGTGCTTCAGCAAATACTCGTCTAGTACTCTTAAAAAATCAGCATTACGAGACACTGGTGGGGGACTTTGACTCTGTGCTGCATGTTTTTTTATCCAGTCAGACACAGAGTCACAAAGGTGATCAAACCTGTCTTCTTGTCTCTTTCTTTTATCGCAACGTTTTTCCACTTGTGGTGTGGATTGCTCAAAAGAACGTGGCAGCTCGCTGCAAAAGAAATCTACATTTTTGTTTCGTCTTCCCCCGACAACGGCGAACTTCCAAATATGTCGCCACTCTCAAACTGCGTACTTAAAAATGAATCCTCACTCGACCATTGCATATTTGAAGAAGTTCTGGGATATAAAAACGATTAGGAATCTCCCAAAATATATATCACAGAGCTCTGTAATTACCTACGAGGAGCGACGTGTCGTTGCAAAAAAGACATCGCATCCATATACCGCCATCCACTACCTTCTTTTGCACCACTTCCCGACGGAAGCTTACTTCCGTTAACCTCCTTTACATATCTGTCCCGAAGGGACCTCCAGCGACTTTGGCATTGTTCGACTGCAATATAATATAAAATACCTCCTGTCAATATCAACCTTAAATATACAATTTATGAAAATAACTCACCAGTAGCGTTTGTGGAAGCTGCCACAGCTCTCCAAGCTTTTTCCTTAGCAATTTTGTTGCGATATAGCACTGTTTTTTTTTGTCAAAAAGACAAGGGTGAATCTGCACCGCTTCTATTAATAAAAATTCCATTTCAAAAACCTAACATAAAATATTTAATAATAACAGCTGATTTCTCTGCCGGACTTGCCGCATGTCAAAAGTTGAGAGTAGACCAACTTTTATCCGTTACGGCAACTTACACGTTGTGAATGTGACATTCTTCATTAAAATATAAGCAACCAAATCGGCTGTCAGTCTAATACATTGCCGCAACGGACACAACGTATTCTATCTGACAGACCCTTAACGCATGCCATGCAGTTTGTTCGTTTACGGGGTACCATGGTAGAAAAATACAGGTAGATGCAACAACGCTTGGGAACATTGATATGTTTTGTGAACTCAAAAATATTTTATCGTGATCAGGCTTGAATTTTCTTGGTATATCTGAAACTTGGCTGAAATCTGATATTCCAACTAGTGCAATAAATGTACCTTGTTATAAATTTGTGAGGAATGACCGTCGATACTCTAGAGGTGGTGGTGTTGGTATATATATTTCTAGTGATATTTCTCATAAAGTTGTTTTCAGATTATCTGTGGTAGGTAAATGCGAATCGCTTTTTATTGAGGTTATGTCTGGCGATGAAAAGGTTCTGTTTGGTGTTGTGTATCTTCCTCCTCCAGGTGATATTAATGTTTTTGAAGATATTCATAGTGATTTATTTTTAGAGTATTCAAAAATTGTTATAGTGGGTGATTTTAATACTAATATGTTTGATCCGCATAAATCTATGTCTGTCCGTTCAGTCTGCTTCCGATTAAACTTGTCAGTTTTTCATAATTCCAAACCTACTCACTATGATGTTACACATTGTGCGTCTTCTCTGCTTGATTTTATGCTGATAAATAATGGTACATCTGTCTGATCAGGCAATATGTCCATCGATATCTGACCATTCACTTATTTTTGCATCGTTAAATATTGGTGTTAATACATTTTGTGATTTTGTTGAGTATCGAGATTACTCTTGTGTTGACTGGCCGGGTTTTTTTTTCTTATCTATCAGCCTTTAATATTGATATGATGAATGTTGTGGATGTTGATGCTAAATGTTCTCAAATTTCAAATCTTTTGTTGGGGTTGTTTGATTATGTTCCTTTGGTGCATAGAAAAATGCGATCTGATGATAATTGGATTAGCTCAAATCGCATTACACTTGCTCGATCACTTCGTGATTTGGCTTTTAAGGCTTACCTTGATAATAAAAGCAATGATAATTGGAAAATTTTTTGTCGTTATCGTAATAGAGCGAAGTTAGTTATTCGCCGTGAGCGTAGAAAGTATTACTCTAAGAAATTTAATACGTTGGGTTCAACTGCTATTTGGCTTTTTTTAGGGCTTCGGGTTGTATTGGTGATGATGATGTATCTCTTGACATTGATGTTGATGATCTGAACTATTTTTTTCAATATAGGAACTCACATATGCCTAATATTGATGTGCAATTGTCTAACGCACGCAGTGATGGATTTTCTTTTAGTTGTGTTCGTATGGAAGAAATTATTATTGCACTAAATCGAATAAAGTCTAAATCTGTCGGAGTTGATGGAATACCTGTGGATTTTTTGAAATTAATCTTTCCATATGTTAGTGATATTATTTTGGATTTGGTCAATTCTGTTTTGATGTCGTCTGTGTTTCCTTGCTTGTGGAAGCAAGCTCGTGTCGTTCCAATTCCAAAGGGGAATGTTGTTCGTGGCCCTGATGATCTCAGGCCTATATCAATTCTCCCTGTGATGGCTAAGGTGTGTGAGCATGTTATGAAGGACCAAATACTTGCTCATATTGCAGGCAAGTTATATAATGGTCAATTTGCTTTCCGTAGGAATCATAATACCACAAGTTTAGTTCTTTACTTAACTGAGTTAGTGAGATCTAACACGAACCTTAAAAAGTATACTGTAATTGTTTCATTGGATTTAACAAGGGAATTTGATTCTCTTTCTCATCAAATATTACTCAGTAAACTGATGTACGAGTTCGATTTTTCTGAGACAGCTTGTAATCTTATTTCATCATATTTGTCTGGTAGATCCCAATTTGTTATTTACAATGGCAGATCCTCAAATGTGGCATTGCTTTCGTGTGGTGTTCCGCAGGGCTCCGTATTAGGTCCTTTGTTTTTCATTTTATATGTCAATAACCTCTCTGGATGATGTGTTTCTCGTTTTTACCAATTCTTATATTAATCCTATAGCTTTTGAAAGTGAAATTAATAATTGTCTTGTTCATGTTGGACAGTGGTGTTTTGAACATTGTCTGGTATTGAATCCGTCAAAGACAAAGGCTATTAAGTTTGGCAGTAATGCATATAATCTAAATATTGCTCTCGATGGTAATCTAATTAGTTTTGTAAGCTGTCACAGAATGCTGGGTATTTTAGTAGATGAGAAACTTTCTTTAGAGACTCATGTCGATTCCGTTCAGAGACGAGTTTTTGCTATTATTCGTAGATTATATGGTACTAATTTATTTTTACCATTGTGGGTTAAAAAGAGGTTGGCGAATGCTCTTTTAATGCCTCATATCAATTATGGGCTCGAGCTGGTTTCTGGTACAATAAAATGTATTTGTTTAAGAGTTAAGCGTGTAGTTAATGATATTGTAAGATTTGTGTATGGTGTTCCTAGGTTTCTGGCTAACATGTTCAGTTTTTCCAGGTCAACTAGGAGTACTCAGATATTAATACCCAGAATAAATAACTTAACATTTGAAAAGTCTTTTATTGTACGTATTGCACGCTTGTGAAATTATCTACCTATTGAGCTTAGAATTTTTTCCCATTCTAATAATGCCTTTCGTTTGAAAGTGTTGAATCATGTCCTGCATCCCGGTATATATCCCAATTAGTTTTATTTTCGTTGTTTTGAGCTTCTATTTTCTTCATTTTACTCTTTTTTAATTATTAAATAATAATTTTTAAATTATTTTTATCGTCGCCTTTATTGTTCACCTTTCTTAAAAAAATTAATTGCTTGTTGTTGGTTATTTTGCCTCTATTTGTTTTTTAATTATGTTATAGTTAATTATAAGTTATTTTGAATTTTTTCTACTTGGTATTGAGTACCTTATTAATACAATTAATTGGCCTTAGTATTAAGTGTGAATTGAATAAAGAAAGAAAGAAAGAAATGCTTCTTCAAAAATAAGTAGATTTTGACATGTTTTCATATACGACACCAATCGGAGATTGTTATGATATTCGTTTTTCAATACTTTTTACGAATTTGAATAACTTTTCATTCAAAATTTTCAATTTCAAATTTAGTTTGACAGTTCATTGTCCCAGCAGTTGTGTCGATGCGGCTACCTGTATTCTTCTACCATGCGGGGTACTTAACTCTTGTGCATGGTAGAATAATACAGGTGTAAGTGTTGTTGTACAACAATCGTAACAACAACCACATACAAATTTGTTTTTGTAAGTAAGTATCAAAATGTAAACAAAATAATAAATTTTCAATAAATTATTTTCATTTCAAAAATATACTTTTTTTGAATTTGGATTATTAAATTCAAATGCAGAGGAATATTTCTTAAAATATGTAATTTTAATGCTTTCATATCATTCGCCTGGATGTATAGTTGTTAGCTGTTGGTTCTAATTTCTCAACACTCAACACAAGTTGAAACCAAACAGCATACATACATAAATTATTCCACATTTTGCAATTTTAGGAAACATGGAATATACGAATATATTATCTAATGTGGTGTAGCTGTTCCTTAACCGCAAAAACGTTTTTGAATCACCGCCTTTGGCGTTTTGTTAAGTACAACGGCGATTTTTTCTGTTATTAGGCAAAAAATATGTTCACATTGCCTGCAGTAAAATTTTATATCAAGAAATGGTATACCTATTGTATATCAAGAAATGGAATTAAATCACAAAACGTCATATCGAGTTTGACACTAGTATTACTACAGAGTCAGGCTGGAAATACATAAAGCGCTTATTTGGCTGGCTTAACACTGCCTTTACACGGTGGCATTTTTATCAATTCTCTTTTAAAATTTCTGCGTAAATCTTCGCGGCTTTACACGGTGGCATTTTATGATATTAGTGCTTGGCATTTTTTCTGACATTTTATTTTATTCAGTATTTCGTATAGAGCTGTATTGTTGTGCTAATTGTTTGTAACAGATATTTATAAAGAAGTGATTTAAAATTAAATGTGTGATCTAAAGAAGAAATGATGGAAAAAGTTGTTGTCGATCTGGTCCACATATTTATTAAAATTATTAACTTTTATTTTAACTTTCTTTTTTTATTTTTTAAAACTTCCAATTAATTTTCATATAATTCACTCTACAATTCATCACAATAAAAGAAACGCATCAAAAATTACAATAAAGAAACTAAAAGAAATGTCAAAATCATAAAAAATTCGGAAAAAGCAAAAAGAGAAATGCAAAGAAAATGGCATGTAACCCTGTGCGGTGGCTTATCGTGCCATTTTTTCTTCTATCCTTGTTTCTCTACACCTTTTACCAACAAAAAAATGGCATGGTTAAAAAATACCACCGTGTAAAGGCAGTGTAAGTCATCGGCTGGCTTCTTCGTAGATGAACAAAGGAGTTTTAGGTTGACCTAGTTCGATTTTGGCCCTAGGCTCCTTTGTTCATTTCCGAAGAAGCCAGCCGATGACTTAAAGGGCTAAGTACATAAGAAGCTTGAAGTCATGGCTAGGCATATTTTGTGACATTTCACAAAGGGATTAGAGAGACGCACTAAAATCCAGCCGTCGTTTTCCATTATAATTTGACATTAATATGCCTAGCCATGACTTCAAGCTTCTTATGTACTTAGCCCTTAAGCGCTTTATGTATTCCCAGCTTCAAATCAGCTGGGACTTGGTGTTACCTGTAATAATTATACCATAACTCTTGTGGTGAAAAACGTCGAAGACTCGCGACAGGTATTGGACAGGCCTGTTAAGGGTTCTATAATCATCGTTCGCTACAGTCGCCGACACAAAAATCATTCAGCTTTGTTATCTGATGCTCCACTGTTCGTTCATGTAACTTGATTGGGAAATATTTTGCATTGATTGGCATTTTGGCAATAAAACTTTTAGATGCTGAATGGGCTTTTTGCGAAGAGAAATTGAAGCAGGGAATCTACAGAACTATTTGTGATTTTCGGATACAAAGTAACAAATGAAAGCTCATATTATCGCGAGTTTATGCTTCAACTTAATGGGCCGTGCGACATTTTACGTGTATCTAAACTATTAACTTGTCATGAATTTTAGTGCAAATCAGGGCGCCACATCTAATCCTAACAATTCAAACGTTAAAGAAGACAACTTGGACACGGAGGATACTTCTACCACCGCTAACAGTTCTACTGAAATAGAAGGAGCAATAATAGGAAAAAAACATAAATTTCCCAACACTTTTACAACTCCACAGAACTGCTTCGAGCTCTTAAATTCAACGTCAAATAAGTTGATTTCTGCTGCTGGACCAATTTCGCAGACGTATTCAGTTGGAGTTAAAGCATTGTCATCATTGGCTTCACCACAGTAAGTATCAATAAAATAAGTGTAGATATCTATGTCCGTATGTGCACGCTGTGTCCTTGCCAGAAAATTCTGCTTGTTTTAAATATATCGACGGCGCTTGTCCAATAAGTATTTGTGTCGTCTTATATGAATCGCTTTGAATAAAAAATATACAAATTTTATATAGACTATGACTATTGCATTTTAAAACAAAATGGGCATCAGCCTTCAAAATTAAAACGATTTTGCATTAACTCTATAAACATTTTGAGCGGAAGGGTCTTATGCTGAAATATGTCTTGTGTTCATTTAACTAATTTGCTTTAATAGCATTATCGTGGTCGAAGTGAAATAATACAAATGCTTCAATTACGGTCAAGCAATTCGAATTTTTGAATTTGTAATTTGAATTATTTCGTTGGAAAATCCCAGTCGCATTGGTGTCACCCGGAATCCAAACTTCCCGAAATATAGTCCCCTAAGTTCTTTGTAAGACCTACCATATAGGTATTAACGTGGGCTACCACAGGAGCTTTAAAAATTCTGTGGGTAAGTCCAACAAAGGCGGAGTGAAACCAAGTTTTTATAATTTTTTGGATTTTTTTCCTCTGGGTATGTCCAATTCCTGTTACGAAACCCAAAGTTTTCTCAATTAATTTATTTTCATTAAATTCAAGACCGACAGCGCGATTAATTCTGTTTTTAAAAAGTAATGCTCTTCTTAAGAATAGGTCGCCATTGTAATCAGGAACGCTAGACCTTCACATTGATAACCATACTGTAATTGGGGTACAAACAAAAACATATAAAGCTTGTATTATTTCATCTCAAAATTCTACAATGAATTGAAAATATCATTTTTTGTTACAACCGAACTTAAAAATATTGAAAACTGTCGTCTTTATTATTCCAAATGCAGGTAGTTTCCATGAATCATTGCAAAGTGGCATGTAGATATATTTATTTCTACTATGACATGTATACAAAGTATACAATATGCCTAACAAAATGATTCAACTACTTTACAAATAAGTTTGAAAAACTAATTAAAATATATGTACAAAATATGATATGATCAGTTTTCTACTCAAACAAAAGGACAATTCAAAAATGTCCTTATTAAAAAATATAATTGGTAAAAATGAGATCATGAATAAATCTATTAAATATAAAAAGTTTTTCATGAGGATTCAATTAGAAAGTGTACCGAGGATTAATTGAAAAGAGAAATATTAAAAAACCAGGACTATGGATATAAGAGACCTTAAAAATATACCTAAAAATTTACTATTATGGCTATATGGCAAAATGCAACATAAATGCAGGGAAGATTCAGATTGTGGCACAAGAGCTAAAAACATTTCATCGGTCAAAATGACGAATAACTCATTCACAATTGGTATATCAATATCATTGCATATCATTTTTTTATTCATAAGGTATTTTGAAAGCCTACTGGTCAATAATATATTACATAGTATAATTTGCTCCCATCCCACAAAAATATCTAAATTACATAAACTCTATTAAGCAGCCAACCGATCCAAGTTTGAGTTGATACAACCTTCTAATTAAATAAATATGGTTGGTAGGTCATACATTTAAAGGACAAATGGTAAAAGTGCCAGGACAGAGTAATAAGAGGAAAGCAAATCAATCAAATCTGAATTAATCCTTTAAATGAAGAAATTGTAATCTACCAAATAAGTACGAAAACACAGAATATAAGAAGACCTAGAAAAGTTGTACTCTATTGGATAAGTAGTCTTTGCGGTGTACAAAATCAAGCCTTTGATTGCCAAAAATCTCTTTGCCTTAAAATTATTTGGTACTCAAATGTTTTATGCATTTTTGAATGGACTCTCATTTTACATTCCGAATCTCAATTTACATTTTGTCACCTCTTCTCGTCGTGCAAAACCCATATCGACAAGTTCCTTATTTATTATTTCATTCTATACTCTCCCGAGTGCTTCAATCGGTACATAGATCTGTTAAGCTTACAGACTATAAGAACCATTACCGGTTCTTCCATGAAAATAGTTTCTTTTAAAATCCCATCTAAGTAAGCGCTAATGGCACCCATTTGATGAATCTTCATATCATATTTCAATGCTGTTAAATATCGTATTGATTCCACGTAATCGATAGATACCTTCAGTCTACATGATGACTTTTGCGACTAATCTGGCTTTCCATCTTAACGTCTTTGCATTGGAATCTTGCTTTGTCTTAAAACTCCATTTTGATTTAACCGCTTTGCATCCTTCAGGAAGCTCAACCAAAGACCAATTATTATTGTCTTTCAAGGAAAACATTTCTTCTTGCATAGTTATTTTAGAATTTTCAGAATCTTCAGATGACATTGCCTGTTTTACATTACACGAAGAAACATATTCTACTGCAGAAAATGCTTTTGATGATTGATTTCGGTTTGTAATCCTTTCTGATCTTCGAATATTCTCAGATGTTGGTATTTGTCGATTTGGTCCCATTCTTAATTATTTGCGTCCACATAGCCGTCGTTGTTTAGACATTCTGAGTCCAAAAACTCACTATCAGTGTCAGAATCACTACGAAGCTCAGTTCGAATATCATTATTTCCATTCAATTCGCTTGAGTCCATATTCATTTTTTGGTCCAAAGCATTACGACATTCTTCATCTGGAAATTGAATTAGCATTGGATAGAAGAAATTGGAAAATGATTTTCAATATTTGATTTACAGTTTTCAAGAAATACCACGTCGCGGCTAACTAGTATTTTATATCAATCCAAACAGAATGTATCATTTCTGATGGCTTTGAATCAATCTTCGATCTTCGTTGTTTTGCTACATGGTCCGACCATAATTCTTCGGGACATCTTTCATATCACATTGTGGTCGTACCTCTTCGAATCAGTTACCATTACGTCATTAAGAGCGACTGCCGTCCTATCATACTTTATATTTATTTATTTATATTCAAGTAACACAGTTACCTAGCCCATAGGGCCAGTAACCGTTACCCACATTTTACTCATATCGGTTCCAATGTTGCAATACTTCAGATGATCTAGCTACTTTTTACGCTTGTGCTCCTCTACTAACATATTGACTTCCGTTGTCAGATCACTGAGACTGTGGTCAGTAGGTTTGGTACGCCTTAGCTCATCACGCTCTTTCGCTAGGGTATTCAACCAGCAGGTATATAGCGAGCGGCTGCAGCTTTGATGATATTCCGGAGAATCCTTTCCTGGGACAGTTCTCTTAATCGAAGGTTGGTGAACTCTCTGAATTCTGGCCAGTGAGCTTTCACAAGGTTAAGGACAGGACGGCGTTCAGAGGTTATGAAATCGGGCGACCTGCTTATGGAGACGATTATCGGGAGATGGTCTGAGCCAAGAGAAATGACGGGTTGCCAAGTCACGTCATTTATCAGACCGGGTGACACTATGGTTAAGTCTGGCGAACTGTGACACTATGTGCGTGAAAATAAATTTAAATTTAAATTCTACTACTTTGATTTTTCGCTTACCAACACTGGTTTTCTCTCAGAGATAAATTTAAATTTAACTACATTTTCGTGAGAGTAAATTTAAATTTAACTCAAAAGTGCTTGTTGTGAAAGAAAATAAAAGTTAAAATTATGAAAATAATATAACAATAAAATGTTATATGAATTGTATTAAAAATTAATAATTATAAGAACTTTGGCCAGAACAAGAAAAGTGGCCAGACTTATATTTCCTATGGTCACTGTAGGAGAAATTGGTTTGGACCCACTGTGGAAAAATGGTTAGGGATGCACCCTTATGGTGTCCATTTTCGGAAAGAGCATCGAAAATGCTCCTAGACCACTTATTCTCATAATCCAAACCCATCTGGAATTCCCACTGTGGCCAGACTTATATTTCATATGGTCACTGTAGGAGAAATTGGTTTGGACCCACTGTGGAAAAATGGTTAGGGATGCACCCTTATGGTGTCCATTTTCGGAAAGAGCATCGAAAATGCTCCTAGACCAATGATTCTCATAATCCAAACCCATCTGGAATTCCCACAGTGGCCAGATTTATATTTCATATGGTCACTGTAGGAGAAATGGGTTTGGACCCACTGTGGGAAAATGGTTAGGGATGCGCCTTTATGGTGTCCATTTTCGGAAAGAGCATCGAAAATGCTCCTAGACCAATGATTCTCATAATCCAAACCCATCTGGAATTCCCACAGTGGCCAGATTTATATTTCATATGGTCACTGTAGGAGAAATGGGTTTGGACCCACTGTGGGAAAATGGTTAGGGATGCGCCTTTATGGTGTCCATTTTCGGAAAGAGCATCGAAAATGCTCCTAGACCAATGATTCTCATAATCCAAACCCATCTGGAATTCCCACAGTGGCCAGATTTATATTTCATATGGTCACTGTAGGAGAAATGGGTTTGGACCCACTGTGGGAAAATGGTTAGGGATGCGCCTTTATGGTGTCCATTTTCGGAAAGAGCATCGAAAATGCTCCTAGACCACTTATTCTCATAATCCAAACCCATCTGGAATTCCCACAGTGGCCAGATTTATATTTCATATGGTCACTGTAGGAGAAATGGGTTTGGACCCACTGTGGGAAAATGGTTAGGGATGCGCCTTTATGGTGTCCATTTTCGGAAAGAGCATCGAAAATGCTCCTAGACCACTTATTCTCATAATCCAAACCCATCTGGAATTCCCACAGTGGCCAGATTTATATTTCATATGGTCACTGTAGGAGAAATGGGTTTGGACCCACTGTGGGAAAATGGTTAGGGATGCGCCTTTATGGTGTCCATTTTCGGAAAGAGCATCGAAAATGCTCCTAGACCAATGATTCTCATAATCCAAACCCATCTGGAATTCCCACAGTGGTCAGATTTATATTTCATATGGTCACTGTAGGAGAAATAGGTTTGGACCCACTGTGGGAAAATGGATGGGTTTGGATTATGAGAATCATTGGTCTAGGAGCATTTTCGATGCTCTTTCCGAAAATGGACACCATAAAG